TCATCATTAAATATCTTGTCAAAATAAGATCACCCTCTTAGTATTTATCAATAGTTGTGACTGATTTGTGAATTTAATTTTAACATAAAGCTGACTTAAGAATTTAAACAGTTACGAGACTTGAGCGAAAACGATGTTTACATACGTCAGTGCAACCCACATCATTTTCCATTAACACATGTTATTAATAGAATTTATATTTAATGTCATATTTTTTTTAAAGGGGGCAAAGTTAGACGGGTGGCATAGATGACACTTGCCTGATGTTTATGTGTGCGTACGTGCGCGTGTATATTTGTAGTGTAAAAACAGGTCCATAGATCATTACCTATTGGTTCAATCACGTATATATATTTGTTTTCTTAAAATGATATATTTGGCATTTGTTGCATGAATCGGATGCGTAACGTTCATGTTTTTGTTGTCGGTGTGATACAGTATTGTAAATCCTGTCATCGGGGTCATAGAGATATTGTAATAATGTAGTACCTCATACCATTTAGCCGAAAGTAGGTCAGTAAAAGTACTATCGCTACGCTGAAAGTAGTCCGGGTGTATAATGGACTGTGGTGATGACATTAAATCTCCTTTGAATCTCTTGATTTTCAAATCTTGTTCTGAATATCAGTAATCATCCCGGGATAGCTTTAATGAGCTACTGACAGTGATTGTCACTTCAAGGGTCACGGCCTCAAGGTTCAAGTAATTTGTAAAACACGCTGCCTAATTACTTTACCAACATCTTGTAGAGGTGGGGTTGTCAAGAAATAAAAGGGGGAGAAAGAGAGAGAGAGAGAGAGAGAGAGAGAGAGAGGAATAAAGAGAGAGAGAGAAAGGGAGAGAGAAAGAGAGAGAGAGAGAGAGAGATGGGGAGAGAGAAAGAGAGAGAGAGAGAGAGAGAGAGAGAGAGAGAGAGAGAAAGTAGATTCACAGCAGTTGGCATCGCGATAATTAAATCTAAAAGCAATCTTTTTCCCGCTGATTACTCTCTGCAAGTGCCATCGTCTTGTTGTCTTTCTAATCTACAGCGCAGTAGCGTGTCGTTAATACCTATCAAAACCATAGATATGGGTGACAAAAGACACACTCTGCAAGGGGTAAGAAGATATCCGGCATGATGTCGTTTGGTACCCTCTACCGCTTGTATCATTTTTTTTTGGGGGGGGGGGCAGTGAAAGTAGGTCGTGCGAATTTTAGCTCAGGATCTACAATAGTGATCAACATGTCATTTCATCAGCTATATCATCAACATCAGGACCGGTGTCATTATAATCATTATCACGTCCATCCTCATATACCTCCTCATCCTCCCCATCCTCCTAATTTTTAACGTTGTTAGCATTGGCCTCATCATCATCATCATCATCAACTCCTATGTCATAACCACCCTTGATATCATTAAAGTCATTATCGTTAGTATCACCATCAGTAGCATCATTTTCTTCTTTCTCTTCATTATCATCATTATCATTATAGTCATCATTACCGAAATCGTCATCGTCACTCTCAAAACTATCATCACCATCACCACCACGGCCATACAAACTATTATCGTCATCACCGTCGTGATCATCACACCATTACCATTATGTTCATTATCGCCACTGTCATCATTATCAACACAACCGGTTCCAACATTACCACAGCCACCGCCATCATCGTCACCTCCACCACCACCACCACCACCACCACCACCACCACCTACACCACATCACCACCGTGACTACCAATTATACAGTCAAATCCACCATCGCCATCGCCACAACCCCATCGCCAACACAATCAACACCAACTCCGACACGATCACCGGCATCTCCTTGGTCCTTATCGGCATTACCTTAACCGTTAATGTAGAAGTGTCTTAAAAACAAAGCAGACAATTGAAATAGCCGACGGGCCTTTTTTTGCAATGAAAATAGAATACTTAACTTCGAATCTTACACTTGATAAGTTTTGCTGATGATCGTTCACAGGAGTACTTCAAATGAGAAACAACAGTTGAATTACGTCAATCGTATATCTCTATTCCTCGTCCCAGTAACTTAATCGACCATGAAAGACCCTCATTGTTAATTGAAATTCTTGCATTTTTGCGTAAATGAATTTAGAATTGCTTGCATTTGACACACCCATGTCAAGGCACGGATTATAATCCAAAAGTGATAATACTTTTACTTCACACCATTGTTATCATAGACTAAAGGACAATACAAAGGAGAGAGAAAGAAGAGAGAGAGAGAGAGAGAGAGAGAAAAGGAATAGGCGGGGTGGGGCTTTTGGGTTCGCATTGGCGCTTTTAATTGGTTCATGCCATAAACCACGTAGGGGGGGGGGGGGTTAAGTAGGCAGGGTCCAGCAGCCCTCCCCTAGAAGTTTTTTTCGGGCAACGAGGCTTTTCATTATAATCGTAACCATCCATCACTATCATCATCATCATCAACAGAATGAAAACAAATATTTTATTTTAATGATATCAAAGGACTATAATACACTCAAAGCAAAAGCAGATGGCACTGCTATAACCTAATAATATTTCTGCTCTGCTCGTTCGCAAATTATAAAACTTGGAAAGTTGAAATTATCGGTCAAATAATTTATGAAACTGTGCCAATTGATTTTACAGACTAAACTTTCTGGTCTCTGTAGAATCCGTTACAATTACGGCTGGATATATTGTAATGTGTGTTCCGCTGACGGTTTCAGGAGTTTGGCTCAAACAAGAATATAAATTTGAATGTATGCTTCATTACTCTCTGCGCCGTCAAGGAGAAAATGGGCAAATAAACAAATCACAAAACTGACCTAGCAGACAAAATATTTACGAAATTTGGAGTGAAGCACACGTTGCCCGAGATCTTTTACTTTTGCTATCATTTTATTTGTACACGGTACCTCAAGTGTAATTACGTAATGCCTTAAAATCTCTCTATTCTTTTCTGTTCTGACATAACTTTTGTAACTTTTTCCACCTTTGCCATTGAAACGCTTACGAGTATGTTTGTATGTATTTTGTTGTTTAAATCTCTTCAAACCAATTGATATATCTATCCTTGTTGTTCATATTCCCATCTTCTAAAGCAGAATGTAGATTCCAAGAATTGAAGGAAATAGAAATAGTCCATATGTCCAAATAAACATAACAGCGGTCACTTGGGAAATTATTCCATTGTTTAAACATTAATGAAAATGTCAGCCAAACATACGGATAGACCATTCACAAAATTTGCAATTAAACCACGTGCACATGACCACTACCCCACATCGTTATTCATACCTACATCTACTCTAGCATCCTCGTCTCCCGAGAATGTTTTAGTAATAACAGCGAACCTTTAGTTGTGATTATTTTTTTCTTAATCAACCGTTCGTCAGAAAGGAAAAGATTTGGTACCAAGGAATGTGGAATTAAAGACATTATCCTTCTCCAGACGATATAGGTTGAAAGCGAAATGTCCGTTTTGCAATACTTTGAGAATCTGGCATTGTAAGATTCGACCTCAAAGCCATGTAAGTTACATTTTGTTCTATAATGTAGACTATTTTTGATATTTTAAGTAGTGCTTAAAATCTTGCATTTAAAGCACATCAGAGCTTAATAGTCATGCATCATTTCCGTCTCTCTCTTTCTTTTCCTTCTACTCCTCCTCCTCCTCTCTCTAAACCTCTCTCAACCCCCACTATTTCCAATCTGTCTTCCTTCTCATACTCATCTATACCTCTCTCTTCCCCTCTTTCTCCGCCCCTTATTCCTGCCTCATCTCTCTCTCTCTCTGTATCTCTAAATTAAATTTCTCTCTCCACTATCTCCCGTTCACTCGATGTTTGTGTCTGCCCCCTCTCTTTGTCCCTCTCTTGCTCTCTCTCTCTCTCTCTCTCTCTCTTTCTCCCTGTCTCAATATTTTGTTTGTTTTTTCTCTTTGTCTGCAGGTCAACGTAAGTCAGGTAGAGGACGGTCCTTTGTCACGCTTCACGGGACACGTCGTACAAACGTCATTTTTATTCGACAAAAACACATCACAATCAATACTTCCTTGGCAGCCGATTTCTCAGAACACGGCATCTTCGGGAAAGCTCCCTCATCATATCGTTGGAGAAAGACAACGCAATAAATTACTTGGAGAAAACAAAACTGGAACAAATTACACGATTCTCCCCGATGGGTGGAATGTTCCGCTCCGTTTAATTTGTAATTGAGAACCCGGATTGTTAGCACATCATATCTTTAAAGATAAAAACACGCTTCTTTGAAAGATCAGTGATGCAATGTAAAAGACCTTCTATTAACAAGAAATGAACAGAAGGGAAAAACTCATTCAAATCTGAAATTGTGTAAAACACAGAAAATTGAACGACTTGGGACAGGATCAGTTTCTTTTCCGAACATTTTGAACGTGCTTTCCGAAATTTGGCCATACATTTATTTGGAAACAGTGATTAAACAAGCGACACCACTTCCTTAATTTTTCAAGCTTTCGGACTAAGATATGAACCTACTGGAACATCAATTACGAGGAAGTTTTATCAGGAGGGCCTCATGAACATTTAGCTGACCTCGTCTATATTTTCCTTGCATCAACATTGTTTCAATGGCAACAAAATAAGGTGCCAAAATCAAGCCTTTATAAAAAAAAAAATTAAAAACTCTTTGATTTCTCTCTGCGCTTGATGAAGAAACATTTTTCGTGAGATAGAAGTTAAGTAACTCACACTTCCCTACATTCAACCCAAACAGTGAAGATGAGAGGTGGTGAAATTATCATTTGATTTATTACCCCCTTCCAACGCACAAACACAAAACAGCCGCACCCACTTAATAAATTTGAAGACGCTTATATTGAATTAAGGAAGCCAACTATGACGTAGCTGGTGAAAGCATTAATGTTATTCTCTTCTTGGAGCCAGTTTAGTGAATTATTAGCGTCAAAGCATAATTGTATGACCGCAAGCCAGACGTATTATTCGACGGAGAGGGAAAGCTTTGGTAACGAACACCCCTTGTACTTATTCCCACTTCAGTACCCTGCTTGAGGCGGATTAGTGCTCTTGAGAAGCAAGACGCAAACATTGCCTTCACCAATAGGAGGCGTCGAAAGAACTGCGCAACACTGTTGACTTTCGAGGCATTTGATAAGCGGAACTTGATTGGTTGGCCGTGCCGTGTGGTGAACCTAACGCGCGAGCCGTATCTGAGTTTGACTCGGTTCCATCACAACTTTTTTTGCGGGAGCGTTTAAGAAGAGCGAGTTCACAATGTGTCGCAACATTCTACCGCCCGCCATGGCTCAGTTCGGGGAGCCCGGTGCTGAAGGAGATGCTTCATATTCCAGTTACTCTTACGATATGAACGGAAATTACACACTTGATGGAGGTCTACCGCTTTCCCTGGCGGCTCCGATTTTCATGATTTGCACCGTAATTGTGGGGACTCTTGGAAACGGAGGATTAATTTACATACTCTTACGGAACCGCGACATGAGAAACATACCTAACCTTTTGATTTTGAACCTGTCACTTGGAGATTTTCTTTATCTCACTTTTAATGTGCCGTTTTACATCGCCAATTATCTGTCTGGTTCGCTCAATTGGAACCTTGATTTGTGTCGCTTTGTAAATGCTGTGCAATTTATCTCACAGGGCGTTTCCGTCCTGACTCTGACTGCCTTGAGCACGGACCGATATTACGCAATCGCCCGACCTCTAAAGCAACGGCAGAGCGACTCGACGCGGCGGACTCTCGGGCTGGCTGCGGGGATCTGGCTGCTATCCATTGTGTTCGCCATACCATCCATGGCGCTGGCTACTACGGAAACAGGTGGTTGCACACTATCCTATCAAACCCCCGAGACTAAGGGCTACTACACTTCACTTTTCCTTTTCTTATACGTCATACCCCTGATCATCATATCTGTGTTTTATTCGCTCACAGCAATCGCTCTTCTGAAAGGAACCTTTAAGCTGGAGTCACGGGTTCGACAGGGCGGCAACGAGAAGCGCGTTCGATCACGGACTCGTCTGGCCATCATCATCCTTATCGCCGCCGTCTGCTTCGCCATCTGTTGGTTCCCATTTTACCTGTTCGCGCTCTGGTTCGAGTTCGGGTTTAACCCCAGGCTCTTCAGCAAACCCGCCATGTTCTGTCTCTTTGATATGCACTATCTTCTACCTATGTTGGGATCTTGCCTCAATCCCATCATCCTCTTCGTCATGAGCTCCAACTACCGGCGCCACCTTCGGGATATCTTCAGCTGTTTTCGGTGTAACTCGACAGCGGCCAAACGCCACTTCTCGTCGGCGAAGTCATGGACGATGATGTCACTTCGCACCAACTCTTACTCGCTCTCTCCCAGCAGTGTGACAGAAATGCCAACCAGGTGCTCAACTCACCTGTCATAGCCACATCTCTGGACAGTTTACGAACTCACCAACTTCGAAGCGAACGCCTAAGATCACGAACAAGGGAGAGATAAAAAGGTATACCCTTGATGAAAGATATACTGACATGTTTATAAATTTGTCCATTTACAGCACTATAAACACGGATCTCTACGAAAGTTTTTCGTAGAAACGACTGGTACCAGAGCTTGGTTTGCTTAACAGCCTGTCGGGAAAATGAGTAATTAGTATATAAAGAGATATGTTACTAAAATGAATGAACAAAGAAGAAACCACTGGATGGTCATCTATTTTTTCTATATCATGTAGTCAGAAAGAGACACGCTTTTTTTTTATGTCCCCGTGTATTATTCAGACCGTTTGCTTGTATATATATATATATTGCATTCATGGCGAAATCTAAAGTAGGAAACGATATGAGAGTGTTACTACACCCAGCGAAGCCCTGCAACAAAACAAAAATAGCTGTCATAATTTTCTCAATAGTAAAGGACTCCCGATATATTTATACGATAATTAACAAGGTTTGTCAAAGAAGAAATATAATGTTGATGTTAGTATAAAATTATTGTATTGAACAGCTGAATACTATTTGCCTATCTGGATAACGACATATAAAAAGCCCAGGTTTATTTGACAAGCTATTACTATTTATATGTTTTGGTTCAAGCAATACATCTATCAACTAGGCCTAACACGAAAATACATATTCGTTTACTTATTCATCTTTAAAAAATAGAGTTTAGTAGATCGCAGGATCTTTATTGAAATAGAAGAGGAAGAATATGACAGCGCATGGTATGTTATGTTGTAATAACAGAAAGCATTAAGGCTTTAATGGCTCATAACGCTTAACAAAACGTGTTTATCATGATATGGGACAAGGTTACTAGTAATAGGATATACATTGTGTTCATGTTTGGCTTTAGCTTGGCAAAATGCGGGCATATTTGAGCTCGAAGCAATACATCAAATGACCATGACATGTAATCCATTCAAAAACACTGTGTACAAGTTCACAGTCGCATAATAATAATAATAATAAACAATATTTATAAGGCGCTTAATACTGGTGTCTCTAAGCGCACCATATTCTGACTTAACAATAGATGTAGATGTAGATGCATAGATGTAGTGATCTTATATTTCAAACGTTCATAGCTCTATTTGATTATTATTGGACGATATATTTCACACTTTCGTCATTCTCTTGCCCTATGATTGGTTTAACTCAAAGCTGTTTGAGATTGACCAATTTATTTAATTGACTTGATAAATTCATGAAATTGATGCCTGGGCCTGAAACTTTTAATTTTCAGATTGAATGTCCGAAATGGAAACCGCATTTTATGTGATATCACTGTCTAGCAAATCAGCCCTATATACATAACGTGGAAATCGAAATATATTGAAAGCTTTTTATTTTTTTCAAACATATAGAGATATGGGCAAATCTCGTTGATTTCAAGTGCAGCTTTTTCGCCATGGTCATAAATATTTAATTATAAGTATATATTGAGGCTCAAGTTATCTGCATTCCATTTTCTTGTTCATCCCTCCCTATTCATTGGTATGTTAGATTTGAAAACCATTAGTACCTCCTCATATAATGAAGAAATCTGCGAATCGAAAAAAGTGTATTACCATGATCTTAGTCTGTCAAAATGCTGGATGACCATTTATTTTATTTATTATATTTTGGTTATTGTACGCACTTGTTTATTAAAAGGGTTAACGTAACATAAAATAATACTATTATAATGATCAATTATTGCCCCAGTTAAGTTACAAAGTAAAATAAGAAAAATATTGTCTAAATTAAACAGTATTCCCTATGTATCGGAACCTTTTCTCCTTTATTCTTTCATTGATTCGCAGTAAACATGCAGACAAATTGTGTAAAAAAAGAAGAAGAAGATCTTTGGGAAATTTTCTGATTGAAACAATTGCAAGTCGCAGATAGTACGAGGGAATTATGCTTGTAGGAGTTAGATTGTTCGGAAACCTGGAAGCAATTTGAAGATGAAAGGATATTGCACAATTAGATAATCACTGTGACCTCAGGAGTTGAAGATTAATTTCAAAGAGTGGTCCATATGTCCATAAATAAATGTATCCAATACTCAATTCTGTATCTCAAAACCTTCTGGCACAAGCAATCATCACCGCTATAATCACAGTAACACCGCTAAAGACGGAAGGTGAACAAATTGCTGGAGGTATAGCCGTTTTAAGACAATTACATACATATATAGATCTTATGATTCCCGCAGGATTACTGCATCATAGTTGAGTAAGTTAATCCAATACATTCTTGTTTTAAATTATCGTGTTGTATCCATTGTTTTTAAAGTAATGTTATTGCACTTCACCATTCCTCTCGAAATATTTGATATGCCCCCTAATGGGTTTCTATACACACTAGATGAATTGTTTACGTGAAAGAAAAGGACACATTATATTTTTCACAGCGTATTATTCTAATCCTTCTTTTATAAAAAAAAATATGCATATTTAAATAACCATTTTAGTTTGTATAAATGTTTGTGTGAAGCAAAATAGTTTCGCCTCACAAACTAGAAGACCATTTCGTTTATATATTTTTGTAATTCTACAATTGCAGAAAAAACAATCATTATCAATCGAAAGACTTAAAGGTGTTGTATGTATATTTTTCCATCAGAAATTGCTATTAATGTGATTTGAAAATGCAAAAAATCTTAGCTTTTAAAAAAACTTGGTAACAGTTGAAGCCTGCAAGCTATTGCTAAACTAAAAACTTTATAAATGATAAGAACAGACAATTTTTGTTTATTTTGGTAGCAAATAAAAACATGGGGTTGATAACGTCTTAACTTGGAAACTTAACGTCTTAACTGGCAGTATATCCACTGATAAAATGATAAAGGAATAGTATTTATTCAAGATAAATTAGATTTGATTTAAATTGTAATACCAGTATCTTGCATTGTTCTTTTACCATCATCTATCGGACTTTATTCCAAATGCGTACGATGAGTTATTTAATTGCATTTGCTATGCTAGTGAAACCTATATGCATTGAACGTAGATCCAATAGTAATTTAATTCATTTGTGGCACTTTTTATGATGAGAAAATTAGAGGTTAACCCCTTGTAATGAACCCGGGATTGAGTTTAATAGCGATGTAGCATCCAAACCAAAAGGTATAAAGAGTAAAGCAAAATGAGTTAATATTTACCTTTCTTTCAATGATTTTAATACATTTCTTTAAATATGGTGTTGTTTGTATGATTTGGTATTTGTTGTTTTATACCTTTAGACAAAATAACGATGTCATGATTTTTAGAGTTTACTTTTAAAATGTCGAGAAAGAGGTAGGATTATAATGTTTCGAAGAAATGTTAAGGAAATATGAATCGTAAATGTTTAACGATGTTGCATTTAAGGGGCGTCATATCGATTGTGTTTTTGCCTGCGTTAATCAAGTCAATGAAGGCAAATAGCGCATTACAACATTAAGTCAACCCTGTGATTGCGCTGTTAATTTTATTTAACGGTGTCTTTCTTCAAGTGACTGCGTCGAATACCAGGGATGTGCTGACGCAACCTAAAGTCAGCGACATGACGTCATGTGTGCATCAGAAAATAAAGTCAATATTGACTCTTCCCGAAATTTGTTTTCAACCACTCGGGTCTTACAGCTGACAGAGCTAGCGACTTCGTTCCATTTCAATGAAAGCAACGAAAAGAGTTCAATAATGGTTATTTTAAAAAGTAATTAAAGAAATACCAAGTTTGAAGTTTTTAAAATGAATTAAAGATAAGTATTCGAATTGGTTGTCATGACTCTCCTGACGTATAAGCACTGTGTAGTTGCTGATGAGCACTTTCGAATCTACCCACTTGATTGTACCTACATAGACTTGAGAAGAGATCACGGTAGATGAATACTTCAGAATCCTTATTTTTGAGCTTGTATTGTTTCTTTCAAGATTGTAGTATGTTAGTGTTTGCACTTGAATATAACTTCAGGCAAAGCTATTATTACCAGTGACGTCTTAGTATAAAAGCGCGTAGATTGATTTTAAAAAAATTAAACGACAGACTTGTGATATATATTTAAGAGGATTATCTTTTAAACTTTTCGACTTATTTTCCATGTTTTCTGGTTCGTAAACCCCCTTCCTGTTTGGCTACAAAAAAATATCTGTAACATGGTATCTTCGGAGTTTCACGAAGTGGTGGTAATTATAGCACAATATTGATTTTTAAAATGTTAACATTCTCAACCTCTAATATCTACAACTTTTGTTGCTGATAAAGCAAGTAAATGCGTGTAGACAAGCAACCAGGCGACAAACAGTTTTTAGTCGTCTCCAAAGGACTCGGATATTGATGATTAATGCATTCCCTAATGGCATTAGCACATCAACTTAGTTTCGAACTCGGGACTGCCCGATTACGAGACCACTGCTCTGCCACTAAGCCACAGCGCCTCCTATGCTTTCATGAAATCTCAGCAATTGTTCTTTAATAATGGTTCTTTCTTCTTTCAAACAACAAAACAGATTTTACCGTCAGCTGAGAACCCCCTCTAAACGAATCTTATACTGTTCAGTGATTTTTGTATTGATCTAACATTAGTCTATTTAAGTTTCACAATTTCACCTTTTTTCATAAACACCTCTTAACATTTCATAAGATGTTATATAAATAATTTGATTGCTTCTTCGCTGGTTAACGCCCATCTTAAGTGCAGGTGTGATAGTAGACAAGAGCAATTATTCAACCTCAGTAATTTCAAGCCAACTTTGAAGGACACTTTTAAGTAATTGCTTTTTATGCCTTGGGCGCTGATTGACGCAGGCTGAACGCTTGACTTTGTTTGATTAATTACTCTTGATGTAGGTTATGGTTTCAAACAATAACTAGGTGTGGTCGAAATAACAGGATTTATTTTGGCATCAACACTAGACAATGACAATAATGATTTAATGAATTTAACAAATGAATTCAATGAATACATATTTTTTTATTTTGATTGTCATTTTTGCAATGATGTAAGCTGGTTTACCTAATAAGATGGGGGGGGGGGTGTTTGGGACAGTTTGACCAACTGACGTGACTGACTTATGAAAAGCTGCAAAAACCATAGATCCGACTAACCGCAGACGCCGTTGACTTGTATTTAGTGTGTTTTTTCACAGAAAATATTGAGGCGTCATTCACTTTTGACAGCCTAGATCTTATGACATTCAGTAATTGATATCAACGTTCGAAAAAACTTGACGATTTATTCTGTCATTGATCTGGGTAATACGTGTTATAGTTTACTTTTTGTTTCCGATACGACATACTGTAACATTGCCTCTAGCAAGAAAATAATGTTATTTGATTAATTTTTTAAAGCCAGTGTATACAAACAAATATCAAAAATATTAAAGTCCGTTTCTTCTTTTTACTAAAAAACACAGTTTATCTTTAGATATTGGCAAATTGATTTTCCCTGACAGTGATTCCACACATTTTCTTTTACCACTATAAGAAGAAGGCACAAAGAAAAAAAGTACGACGTTTATCATCATGTATGGGTTAAGGTAAAGACACAAACTCCGACAAGACAGAAACCCACACTGACTATAACTTTTTAAACATCCTCGCAATTGCCTGGGAGCTGAGGCATTTTTAAGCTCAAATCATAGGACATATGTTATTATAGTCAGGAAATCACATAATTATCAGCATTATGGATTGCCTGTGCCATACTTGACCGAAAATAAGTGACCTGTCGTTTCTCCTCCGTTGGTTTTGCTGTATTAAAATTCTTTTACAAAAATACGAACTGCACGATTTCATTGCCCTGGAGTAAACTAATAACATCCTGGTAGATTACGTTTCACAGATCGCAATCCCAAACTGGCTGCTTCATACCTACACACATGCTAATTGGTCACGGATGCATTTAACGTTAACAGCTTTTACTATTTTTCTTGAGAGACGCCTCATATTACTTAGTTAATCCTTTGAAAATATTTTTTAC